CTGGCGGCTGGGGGGAAGGGCTGCTGAGGGAGGTCTACGCAGGCCTGGCCCAGCAGGAATGGATTTGTTACTAGGGTGACTTGAGCCCAGGCCTCAGCATTTGGGAATCCCAGAGAAGCAGCCCTTTCCTGAGCCGAGTTAGAAGGATTTCCCACTCTGCCCTGCTATGGCTCAGGACGCGCCATGGGTCGGGCACCTGCTGTAGTAACAGTCTCTGGCCTTCATAGTGACTCCCGTTCTACATATGGGAGGAGGGTGGCCTGCCCAGATCCCACCCAGCAGGGTGCAGGTGGGGGTCCTCCCACCCCTGACTGCCTGGGGTTCATCAGGTCTGGGTCAGCCGTGCCCCATTCTAGGGTGCCCCTACACCCAGCAGACGGACAGCTGTCACCTGGTACTGCTGTTGCCCCAAGTCCCAGATGCACCGGAGATGGGTGGGTCACACCTTCAGTGTGGGAAGGGGCCCCAGAGCCACGCGGCCAGCTCCTGCTCCCTGCCCCTTCTGGCTGGGCCCAGCGAGCGGGCTGTCCAGCCAGGGTCCTCCCAGGAGTTGTCCCTCCTGCATAAGTGGCAAATGCACGTTACCTGGGAGCAGCCGGCGTGTCCCTGGCTGTGAGCACTGCCGCCCTCCCGGGAGCCCCACCGCCCCCCCGGGAGCCCCATCGCCCCGCCTGACCCGTGCTCTGCCTCCCGCCCTGCAAAGGGGGGCCATAGGGGGTGGCAGGGGGATCAGCTTCCTGTTTTCTTTCCCAGCTGGGAGAAGGCACAGTCACCTCTGCGGCTTCAGCCCCTGTCACTCAGCCCCGTGGCCGAGCTACGTAGGTGTTTGGGAGAGGGGAGGCCCAACCCTCCCCTAGGGGTGACAGCCTCGCCTGGACAGGGCTGTCCAGAGGGCGGCGAGGCAGCCCTGAGGCCACAGCCCTGTGTCTCTGTAATGGAAACTTCTCACTGGAGTGTGAGCCGCGACAGCTCCGGTTCCCGCCCTGCGCTAGTGCAGCTCTGATCGCCAGCAGATTGCGGCCTGTCAGGTGGGCGAGCTCACCCCGAGGTGCAGCAGCAGCAGGAGCCCAGGTGGGCCGGGGCAGGGGTGTGCGCAAGAGAGAGCGTGCTAGCGTGTCTAAGTGTGCAAGTGTCCGTGTGTGTGAGTGCATGTAAGAGTGTGTACGTGTGTGTAAGTCATGGGAGGGGCCATGAGCCTCCGACTTCTCCAGGGGCGTCCCTGGCTTCTCAGGATCCTGGCCCCCCTGCTCCAGCCCCCGTGGGGCACCCTGGAGGAGGCAGCTGGACGGTCTCTGCCGCTCCAGGGTTGCGAGATGCTCTGTGCAGGCTCTTCCGGCCACTGAGCCCAGGTCCTGTGTGTAAACACAGTCCTGTGGGGTAAGCCAGGTGCTGAGCGGGGTGCCACCATATGGTCAGAGCTGAGGAAGGGCCCTCCCTGTGTGGGGCAGGGGGTGCTGGGGTCTCCCAAGTGCCAGCTGCTGCACTCTGGGCCACGACTGCCCCCAGGGACCCTTGGGGAGAACGGAGATACATCGGCGGGTGAGGGCCATGGGCAATAGGGCAGGTGGCATGGGGACAGGTGGAGCCACAGCGAGCCCTCCTGCCAAGTGCAGGGGTGTGGGCCACCTGACATCTGGAGAAGGCAGAAAGCCCAGAGGAGGACACCCAGAGGCAATGGGGCTGGACTAGGTGGCAGGAGAAGAGGGGGCCAGGCCCCAGGGCTTGGCATTATCCAAGGCGCTGAACCAGGATGGAGCCGGTCTGGCCAACCTGCACGCCCCCCTGAAAGCTGGTGGGAGGGGTGGGGGGCTGAGTTTGGGGGCCCAGGACAGCAGGCTGGACAGACTCAGTGTCAGTGGGGCCCTGGGCTCCGTGGGTGCCGACACCATCTCTCAAAGTCTTCCACACAAGGTGGGAGGGAGGGCAGGCACTCAGCCAAACCCCAGGAGAGGGGTGGAGGGGCTCTCTGAGCTCTGGGAAGGCCACAGAGGGTGTGCCCACCTGACCGAGGTGCTGGGCATTGGCCATCATGGCCCCACCTCCCACCAGCAGGAAGGGCCAGACAGGCCCACCACCTAGAGCCCCGAGCCTGGGCTCCAGCATCCGGCAGACCCGGTCCCAACCCAGGCTCTGAGACCTGCAGGCAACTCTCCTCTCCAGGCCTGCGTCCCCCACTCTGAGGGGAAGTACGGTGCCCCCTCTTACTAGCACGAGGTTAGAGGAGCTGGTCCCAGAGGCCCCAACACAAAGGGATGTGTCATTGGGTTCATTACCCCAGAGTGAGGGGCAGAGTCCCTCCGATGGCCGTGCCCTCCCTAGGCTGTGGGGCATGGGGTGACACTCCACAGGCCAGGCCCCAGAGCTATTTTCTGCCCTTTATCACCCATCTGTCACAAGTGGCCTCAAGGCAAGTGAACTCCAGTTACACGCTGTCCCTGCCAGAGCCCCAGGCCTCCCGCTCCCAGGCAGGCCCCGCCCTCTGTGTGGGGACAGGGAGGCTTCACCTTCCGCTGAGCAGCCCAGAGCTGCTCCACCTCCCGTGTCACTGGTGGGAAACGAGGCCCAGTGAGGTCACTCTACTTGACTGAGGTCACAGAGCCAAAGAAGGATGGAGCCCAGGACTTGATCCAGTCCAGGGGGATGCCAGAGGCCCCCCTCCTCTCAAAAGCTTCCTCCCTTCCTGAAGGGAACAACTCTGTCTAGGTGGGGATGGGACAGTGGGGTTGGGGAGGCCACCAGGGTGCAGAATATGGCCCAGGTGATGATGGGCAGGTGGAGAAGGCCCCAGAGCTCCAGAGAGACCTGCAGAGCTGGAGGATGCAGGGCAAAGGACAGGCCACCCCATAGGACGTCCTCACTGCCCAGGTTACAGGTCTGGGCAAAGTCACATCTGCTCCCTGAGCAGTAACAGCAGAGCTGATGTCATGGAGTGCACCGTGGTCAAGGCGAGCTTCTGAGCACGAACACGCTCCCCTCACAGTGCCCAGGAGGTAGGTCGATTGCTCCCATGTTACAGCTGAGTGGATCCAGGCCCAGAGAGGTTGAGAGCCTTGCCCAAGGTCACCCATGGTCACACAAAGTGCTCCCGAGCCTGCATCCAGAGCCACCAAGCTCTGATGCAGTCCCTGAGCATGTCTGCTGGGGCTGCAGGAGATGCCACCGAGTGCTGAGCAGTGCAAGAGACCGGGTTCTGGGTCCAAGAGGTCCATGGGGGCCTCTGCTCCACCCTTCATCCTTGCCCCAAGCTTCAGCAACTGAGTCCCGGGTGTCCAGAGAGCCCCTCCAGCTGCAGACAGGCTGCTGTGGAAGGCTGTCTAGTGACCCTGCTGGGCAGCTGCCCAGAAAGACCAGAGGTGCCTGGCCTTCTGTGGCACACTGTCCCGGAGGTCACACCAGGCTCCACATTCCAGGTGACCAAGCCACAGGTCCAGGGTCCCTGGGGGCCTCTGCTGCTTTCCCACTGCGGGGCCTGCACGTACAACCTCTCCCTCGGCCACCCTCAGCAAGTGCATGTCTTGAAGATAAGCGGCCCCCTCCCTGCCTCCTCCAGGCCAGCCTGCTCCTTCCACGACCCTATTTGCAATAAAAATCTTATGCCGTGATAGGAGAAAATTGCTCCCTTTTAAAATAATTGAGCCTGTCCAAACGGCCCCCATGCAGACATCACTAACGGGCTCTCTGCTTGTCTGTGGTATTTATGCCCACACAGGGGTCAGGGCTGCAGCCGCGCTGTTATGTGTGGGAGGGGCGTGGTGGCGCTGGGGTCACCATTGTCCTCACCCAAATTGGCACCTCCCCACAGCCCTTCCCTGCTCACCCCCCTGAGGTAGCTGCTCCTTTGGGGGACCCTGAGGAGCTGTGCTGAAGGGCAGTGTGGACCCCTCACTCTCAGCCTGTTCTCAGCCCTGGGGGGCAGGGTCCCTGCAGGATCAGTGGAAGCAGGAAAGCTCCTCATGAGATGCAAACACTTTCTGTGCACTGACCCCTGGTCCAGCCCAAGCTGGGAGTGAGGGCAGGGTAAGGGGCTCCCCATGCCACCACCCCTCCAGCCAGGAGGGGACAAAGAGGACCCTCTGTGTGGCTACAGAAGCCTCAGACTTCTCTGGCCTCCATTTCCCTGCCTACAAGGGGAAAGGTGGACTCACCACCCCAGAGCCCTTGAAGGACTGACACTCTGCACCTGGCATCACCTGCATGGATGCCCGGCGGGGTCTGCACCCCAGGCAGGACAGGAGGCGATCTCAGAAGTCAAGGACCCAGCCAAGGCTGAGAAAGAAAAGTCCCTAGAGGGGCTGCCATTAGTGAGCAAGAGAGTGGGAAACGCACAGCACCCCAGTGATCAGAGACCCTGGGAGGGAGGCAAGCAGGTGCCCGTACACCCAGTGGGTGACCAATGTGACACAGGGAGAGGGTGGGAGAGACAGAGACGAAGGGATAGAGACAGAGGCAGAGACGGAGAGACAGAGACGAAGACACAGAGAGACACAGAGATAGAGAGAGAGAGAGAGACAGAGAGTCTGGGCAGTGCTGAGGGGTGGCCCCCCGGAGCTCAAGGGCACCACCCCACCAGCACCTGCCCAACAAGGTGGGCGAGCCAAAAGAAGGCAAAGCAGACATGTTTATTGCAGCCTTATCCATGACCTCAAAAAATTGCAAATGGTAATAATAAAGTGCAAACTTCCTGAACACCTGGTCATGGAGGGTGGCTGTAAACTGCAGGACATCAGCCCAGTGGAATATCAGCCACTAAAGCTGACAATCACAGAGACTGTGGCGGCAGATGAAGAAAGCGCTTCCACAGAGTCTTCGAGTGAGGTGGGAGCAGGACTTACCTGCGCTGGGAGCGCGGCAGGGTCCACCTGTCACTGAGGCCGATCGGAGGCCGGGGAGCCAGCCCAGCTTCCTGGGGACAATTTTCTCCTCCTTTCATTTTTATCCCTACGAGTGCTGCTTGTGTGATAAATGATGTCTCTGCTTATCTCAGGACCATGTTCCCGTAAATGAGGCCTGCGGCGCGAGCCTTGTGCCCCCACTCCCTGCCGAAGACGCGACATCACACCAGAAAGAATGAGGGGGCCGCTTGGAGCTCACCGATGCCCAGGGCCGGGAGGGTAAGGCCGGTCACTGCCCGGATGCACCCGGCTGCCTATGCTGGGCTTCCACTGGGGACAGGCAGGGGACAGGGGAGCAGGGAAGGGCAAGCCACTGGGGCCTGGGGGCCTTGGGAGCCAGCGGCAGCTCGAGGGCTGGGTGTGGTGGAGAGGGTTGGAGGACCCGGGGGGCCCTGGCACGAGCAAAGGTGCAGCGGGGGGCCAAGCCCGGTGGGGCACTGCCAGGCGTCTGGCTGGAGTCTGGCGAGGGAGCAGCGTGCGAGGCCAGGGAGTCAGAGGGGCTGGGAGGGTGCCCGGCGGAGGCAGAGCCAGTGGGAGCCATGGAGGGTGGTGGAGCCAGAGCCCTGGGAGGAGGGTGTTGAAGAGGGATGGGAGAGAGAGGACAGGCCGAGGCTGTCACCCAGTGTCTTGGGTCCAGGCTGAAGGGGGGAGGAGGAGGCCAGGAGACGGAGCAGGTCCTTCCGTGAGAGTTTGTAGCAGCAGCCTGGGGAGAGCCCTGGCAGGAAGACAGTCCTTGATCGATGCAGCGATCACCGTCAGCAGCGCCATTAGTATCACTGCTATTATTGTCAACATGTAAAAATTGTTATGGGCTCTGTGGGGGGGCAGGACCTGGGCTGAGACAGGGGCTGCTGGTCACCGACTTCGTCCACTTCAGACTGTCCAGGCTTCCTTCCTGACCCCACCATGATGGAGCAGCCCATGGGGCAGCCCACAGGCCGGGGTGGGGGTCTCCACACCCATCTCTGGTCCTCTTCAGCGGGTCCTTCTATGTAAAGCCCAGAGGAGGGCAGCAGGGGCGCGGGCTGGGGCTGCCGTCACCAGAGGAAGGGGCTCAGGGCGGGTCTGCTTCCCACCCCCCCAGGAGGCCGACGGGAAGTGCCCCCCTTCCATCCTGAGACGGAGGTCCCTGGGGCGCGGCAGCCAGGGGGCTGAGCCACAGAGGACCTCGAGGCGTGTGCGGTTCCGAGAGCCCCTGGAGGTGGCCGTCCACTGTAAGAGGGGTGCATGCGGCGAGCGGGTAGGGTGAGAGTGAGGGTCCAGGTGGGGAGAGACACTGGCAGCACCCATAGCTCCAGCAGGGCCCAGTGCCATCTGGGAACCCCAGTAAAATCTGGGCCCCAAGGGGCATCTGGATGCAGAGTCACGGTCAAGGAAACAACCAGCAGAAAAAGATATCACCACAGTTTCTCAACCATTCTGTCCTCTCGAGGAAGGGTCAGGACCTGCCGGAGCCTAGGTCTCCCACCTGCGAAGCGGCCCCATCTCAGGGCCCTGCGGGTGGGGTGGGGGAGAGATGAGAGGACCTGGGGGCACGTGGTGGGCCAAGGCATCATCCCCCCAAGCCAACTCTGTCTCCTTCCCAGACATCGCGGGCAGGGACACCTCGGCCACTGTCACAAGTAAGTCCTGAGCCCCCACCCCATCTCCCACAGGGACCTTGGGCCCCTACTCCCCACAGGACAGTGCTCAGTGTGGCCCCAGCCGCAGACCCCTGCTGCCCCCACAGTCAGACTCCCCTTCTGGCTGCTCCACCCCCACAGGGCCACTCCCTCAGCCAAGGTCCTTGATGCACATGGGGGATGGCAGTGCCCTCACTGTGGTGCAATCTGCCTCATGCCTCCTCCCCGAGGAAGGGTGCTGCAGGGACAGGGATGCAAGGGTGCACCAACAAGAGGCTTTTGCTGTGAGGGGGCCACACGGGGACTGGAGGGACCTTGGGCAGGAACAGAACGGGATCCATGTCCCATGGGGACCATGGGAGTCACCCCCAGGGATTCCCCCAAGTGCCGACCCTGATGAACAGGGTCTCCATGTCAGCCAGCAGGGTGACAGTCCTGGTGGCCTGGGTCTCCCTCCATCCTTCCCCATCAGCCCTGCCAGGAGGGGGTATGCCTCGCCAGTCCCCATGCAGGAGGGTTAGGGCCTGCTGGCTGGGGCTGACCCTGTTCTGTCCTCCGACCCCAGCGCCCAGCAGGCCCACGACCTGTTGTGGCTCACTGCTCCTACGGCTGTCCGTGTGTGTCCTGCTTGTGGTGGTGCTGGGCCTGTACTGTGGCCGGGCCAAGCCCATCATGACAGCCCTCGAGGACCTCCAGGCCCGGCTCCTTGTCCTTGTCCTGCGCCTGCGGCATGCGGCTCTCTCCTGCTGGCACTGCCTCCTGCAGCACTGACCGGTCTGGACAGCAGCACCTCAGATGGCCCCCGCACCGAGGCTGCAGGGGGAGACCCCCACAGGCGGTCTAGGGGCTTTGAGATGGCCCCAAGCCCTGGCTCTGGAGCTGCCCCAAGAGAGAGCTGTGCTGCCAGTGCTCTGTGAACCAACCGTGGGGACCAGGGGACTGCTGCAGACGCGGCACATGGCCCTGCGCCCTTCCAATCAGCACCGCCCTCCTGTTTTATATGTCAGGGTCCACTGTGAGGTTTTATTAGAAAAAGGATTTGACTACTGAAAGTTGGGGACCCACATGCTCTGGCCCTCAGACTCACCATTTGGACCCCTCCCTCGTCCCAGCAGGAACTCATGGTACCCCTTGGGCCTGGAGCAGATGCCTCCGTATGCACCCTTGAGGAAGGGGACACCCTGCCCCATATCTGTGGGACTGCTCGAGAAGGCGAAACCCAGACTTTTGCTACTTTTTGGACACCCCAGGGGCTCAGGCCTGCAAACCCCATTGGGAGAGAAGGGTCTGGTGGTTGGGGTGGGGACACTCTCTCCTGAAGGCCATGTGGGGTCCCCTGTTGTTGGTGTCAGGTACCGTTCTCTGAGCCTGGGTCTGACAACCCCACTCATCCCCAAGAGCCTGGGGAAGCCAGGGAGAGGGAGCCGCAGAGGGCCGGCTGCGGGTGTGGGAGCGGAGGGCGCAGAGGGGTGTGAGAGGCCCAGGCCTCTGCTGCCTTCTGATCACAGCCTCTGTGCCTGGGCTCCGCTGGCTGGTGGACAGAGCCAAGCCCTGGTCCACGCCAGTGCCAGCTCCCAGCTGCAGGGCCCATGGATCCCCATGACCGTCTGTAGATGCAGCTTTGTCGCCCGATGGCAGGGCCGAGGAAAGCCCAGTGATGACAAGCTTCAGGGGACCCCTAGACCCTGCATGGACTGGGGAGGCCTCATCAAAGCAGGGAGGCCCAAGGTCAGACACCATGAGAGACTGCCAGGTGACCGTCAGACAGGTGTCTGCAGGGCCAGCCTGAGACTCGAGGGTGCGGCCACAATGACCGTGCTGCCCTTCGGTGGCTGTGCTCTATCTGTCCACTGATTTTCTATTAGTACACACTGACTTCTCTCACTCAGAACTTTTATAGAAACAAGAAAAACAGCTACAACCCACATGCTGGGTTGCCCCCTCATCTTCTCCAGACTCAGGGAGCCAGGGCGGTGGCCTCCATGGTCTCTTCTGGCTTTAGAATCTGGGGGGTCCAGTGTGAGGGATCCCAGCATAGAGGGGCCCTGTTTACAGAAGTGGCCTCGAAGGAACCACAATGGAGACTCCACAGGACAGCACCAGCACTTGGGGACCCTCCAGCATCACACTGTCACCACGATTACCACCCTCCTGCACGGGCCCAGCCTCATCCCCCCCTCATGAAGAGGACAGGCAAACAGAGGGTAAACAGAGGCACAGAGAGGTTAGGTCACATGCCCAAGACCACCAAGTGGTCACAGGCCTCCGGCTCAGCCCTCTCTGTGCTTGGGGCCACCAGCCACCCTGCCTCCCTCTGGGGGATACCTGCCTGGAAGGGGGTTGGTCTCCCCAACACCTGTGGGGAGGGGTGAGGGCAGCCCCCTCCTCACGGCCCAGCTCTGTAGGGTCCCACACAACTATGACCTACCTGATGTTTAATAAATATTGCTCAGAGATGTACACTATGCACCTGAGAAATCATTCAAAATCCATCTCACACCCAGGAAGTCATATGGGAATGTGTGTGTAAAAAGGTCTGTTTCAAGTATTTTGCTTATGTGATTGTGAGAGCTGGTGCACGAGAGATCTGCAGGGCAAGCCACCAGGCTGGAGACCACAAGGTCAGCTTCTAATCCCTGATAAGTTTTTGGAACAAAAGCACCAAATACCAAATGTAATGTGTTTAAATCGTAAATTCAATGCAGTTAAAACCACGAGAACAAGGTGAGCTGGAAGGCAGGGGCAAGCGAAGAAAAATATGACAGATTCCTCGTCATCCACATGGGAGACTCAGATGTTTTTCTATTCTGATTTTGAGAAATAAATGCATGTAAGTTTAAGAATATTTACTTTCAGTTTAGACAGAAATACAATTAAAACAAGGATGTCCATTATCAAAAAGCCGGGGAGAGAAGCGAGGGCGTCTTAGAAGCAATCCGTGGTGGCCACCCCTGGACCTCCATGGTCACAGCCTACCCTTACCTGTCTGGGGAGAGGCGCCAGCCCTGGAGGGACCCTCCCCCGCCCAGGGCAAGTGCTCACCAGCTCCCACCAAGCACTCCCAAGACCGCTGCCCCTTTCCTGGAATCCCCCAGGGTATTGTTGTCTGGGGTGCGGGGTGCAGCCCCAGCCTGAGATAGGTCTGCATCTGTAAGTGGTCTCTGCTGACCCCAACCAGGGGGCTGCCCCAGCCCAGCTCCTGGGAATCCATGAGAGGCAGCTGCCAAGGGCAGACCCAAACCTGGGGCAGGACCTTGGGCTCCACCCCACCAGGTCCAAGGCTCTGGAAAGCCTGTGCCTTCCCACTTGGAAACACAACCAGTCACTTGGGGTAGACGGGGTGAGAGCTGCACACATGGGGAGCCACGGGCTCTCCTTTCCCGGGGCAGGTGGGTAGCAGCAGCGAGCAGCAAACAGTAGCACTGGGACTGGGAAAACTGCAATTGCTGGTGGAGCCCCGGGGGTGCACGTGAACATCATGGACAAAGACTCGAAGGAATGTGCCAGCCAGGGAAGCCCAGGAGCCTTGCGGGAGAGGGGAGCTCTGGGCTCTCCTGAGGGGTGGGGTCCACAGCCAAACAGCCCCCAGGCTGCTCATTGCTGAGTGCAGGGGAGCCCTGCCCAGGGTCCCAGGTTCACATCCCAGAGGGACCACTGAAGGGACACCCATCCATGTGGCCATCACCTGATGCCAGGCCAACACTGCTGTCCCTGCATTTTCGATGCTGAGACCAGACTGGCCACCTGGGCCGCCGCCACCCCAGGAGGAGTCAGCCAGGCAAGAGCTGCCTCAAGGCCAGGGGCTGGGAACACACCGTGAGTTTCTCTCTCCAGGGTTTCACGCAGCATCCCTGTCCCACACACCGTCAGGAATGAGGGTCAAGAGTGATGTCTGGCCATCTCCTGGACAAGCCAGCATGGGGACAGCATCGGCCACAGCAGGACAATGGACAGAGGGTCCAAGAGAGCAGCTGGAACCCCCCGCCCAGGCCCCCGGCCTGGTCCCGCTGGGACAGGCGGGTCACACCGGTCACAGCCATCCTGGGGCCCCGCCCACCCAGTCACTGCTGGGCTCACGGGTGGGAGTCGGGGTGCTCGCCGCACTCCACGCAGTGCTGAGGGGACGCATGCAGGGCTGCACGGGGCCAGGCAGGGGTCCAGCCAGGGCCCCCCAGCTGGTCCCCCAGGACAGGCTGTGCCCGTGTGGCAGGGGTCTGGGGCCGGGTCCCCCTGCCCGCGCTGTGCCTAGATGACGGCGCTCTTCTCCTCCTGGAAGGAGGTGCGCAGCGACGGCCGGGCCAGCAGCAGCTCCTTCTCGTGGACCAGGTTGTCCAGCAGGTCCTCCTGGCGATAGTTGTGGTAGACCTTCAGGAAAGCCAGGACGGTGATGGCCAGCCAGGCCAGCCACGAGGCCCACAGGCCGAACTGCAGGGGGGCGGAGGGCAGGGTCAGGGGCTGGCTAAGCACCCACCAGGGCACACACACCCACCGGCCCTGCGCTGAGAGGAAGGAAGGAGGAGGAGGCTGCGGGGACACGGGGCGGGGGACTCCTGGAGACCCCACCCAAGCTCAGGCCCTTGCTTCCTTCTGCAGCGTCAGCACTGCCAGCCCCGGCAGCCCTCCCAGAACCCAAGCTCATGCAAAAGCGTCGAGAACTTGGGCCCCCTCACCCCAGCCGGGATTGGGGTCTCCGGGGAGGAGCAGGAGCTGGGACCGTGCCCTGTCCTCCCAGCAGCCCTGGCCTGCTCAGCTCTAACGAGCGCTTGAAGGTAATGGAGCCTCCTCCAACCGCCGGAATAAATCGACCTTTATCGGTTGTTCCAAACAGTTGAAGGAGAAACAATTTAATCAGAACCAGGCCTGAACCACATTAAACTGATTCTCATTTGAGCATATTTGTCGTTAGACTGTGCTCACACCTTAATCTAATTGTCACAAATTGGGTCTGAAACATCTTCCACTAAATTTGCATGAAGGTGTCTTTCATGGTTCAGCTCATCTCAGCAAAGAACCTCTGGGCCCACCCGATGTCCAGCACTCCCAGAGGGCTCCCAGATATGGCAAGAGTCCCCAGGCCAGCCACAGCCAACCAGGGCCTTCAGAGGCCAGTCTGGGGTTGGGAAGTGGACCTGGAGGCCGGCGAGCACTGCTCAGTGCTGGAAGGAGCCGCCTCCACCTGGGCACCCCCTCTGTGACATATCTCCACCTGGGGCACAGGTGCAGATTTTGAAGGACAGCCCAATTCCAGGGTTCAGCCCCAGGGCTCTCAGTGGCCACTAGTGTGTCCCCACATGCCTGCATTTCAGCAAATAGCATCTGCAGACTCAGTCCCAGCCTCTCACTGCTTGCCATGGTCTCCTGGAGGGCAGGGCGGGGCAGACGGTCTTCCAAATTCTCCGGCCGGATCCCCTCACCCCTTTCTCAGACACCCGTATCAGCTTCCCCTAGCCAGGGGATAACCCCGAGCCTTCCAGCATTTACCTAAACAGGGCCTGCTTGGTGCCAGGACCAGAATTCAAACTCCTTGCCCTGGCACTGGGACCTCAGGACCCGATGCCCAGGCTCCTCTCCAGCACCACCTCTCCCCCCACCCCAGCCACTCCGCACCTCGCCACTCCCTAACTCCAACTCCTGCTTCTGCATGTTGCCCCCCACTGTGCCCCTCGCCACATCCACCTGCAAAAATCCCACTCAGTCTTCAAAACACAGCTCGCCCACCCTCTCCTCCAGGAAGCCTTCCTGACTGCTCCCACAGCTGTATCTCCTCTGCC